TAGCAGGTGGCATGGTGGTTAAGGCGCTGGACTCCCACATGGCCAACTATAGTTCAAGTCCCAGACCTGGTGGCTTGCTTTCTCACTTTCCCTCTCTCGCTTTCTCTCACTCTGTCCCTCTCTGGTCAAATGAAAATAAATGAATAAATCAAGTTAAATAATTAAAAAAAAAAAAAAAAAAACTACAGTTCATGTTAAACTGGTGAAATCCAAATAAAGCCTGAATTTTTAGCTTCCTAGCATTGTATCACTTTTCATTTCTTTGCTTTGGGCATTATGTTCTGGTTGTAGAAACTAGGTAATGGGCATATGGAAGTTGTACTGTTTTTAATAACAACTCTTCTTAAGTCTAAAATTATTTAAAAATTAAGAAAAAGCTAATGAATAAAAACACATAAGATTTTATTCTTATCTTTCTGGCCACTCTTTTCCAGTCGTCTTTACTGACACATTCTCCTATAGGAAGTTTTAAGCTATTCAGTACTCAAGGCTGAAGGCCTTTTTTCTTTTCTCTGTTATCTCTGTTATCTTTGCTACCCAGTGTGACTGCTAGACACACTTGGCAATTTAAATTCTAATTTAATACAAATGAATACAATAAAAAACGTGATTTTTCAGTTGCACTAGCCACATTTCAAGTGCTTAATAGCCACAAGTGGTATTAGTGGCCACTATTGGACAGCACAGATGAGAACTGTTTGATCAGTTATCGTGAAAGTTCTGTTGAGCACACGTCCCACATGGGCAATGGCATGTACTTCGTTTTGCAACTCTTGAGAAGCACACAGTGTCTGAACAGACTGCTCCTAGTGATGCCAGGATTAATCAGTTATGCAGGTAGTGTCAGCATTGGAAAGTACCCCATCAAACTTTCACCTAATAGTTTCATTCCTTTATATAATCTTTGCCTAAAACATTTGTTTCATTCCGTATTTTTACTAAACAGAAGTGTGATCATTATAGGTATAATGTGCTCTGTACTTAATCCCATTACTATATATTGTGGATATCTTTCTATAATAGAAGGATAAATCTGAGCTCACTTTTAATAACTGTGTATGTTCTATTAATGTATATATCACAAAGCTGTGATTTAGTTTTGGTGAATAAATATATGTTCATAACCACATGGCAAATGCTCTTAATTGCATATCCTTTCTTTCAGATGAGCAGAAGGCCTCTTCTTCCTTGCAGACATTACAAAACAATAGCATGTACACTGAGCCTTATGAGGATTTGAGGAAAGATCAGCACAGCCCATCCTATCAGCAGATAAACTGTATTGATAGCGTTATCAGGTATGAGACACACGTTTTGATAACATGTTAGTTTTTCCCTAATGCATACCATGAAGCCTTCATAGAAGCCTTCATAGAATGTTTAAAAATTTATTTCTCTCCTTTCCATAAATGAGAGAGATGGATAGACAGACAGCATCCCGACAGGGCCTGTCACTGTGATCTACCCTGGCTTTCAGCCACCACAGATTTTGGGTACATGCATGCCCTATGTACTTAGGGAGGTCTCCAGGCTTGAACCAGGAACCTTTGCACATGGGATTGCCTAGTAGAGCATTGTATTTAACCACTGCCACCACTATCTGGTCCCCATTCATAGAAGTTTGAATAGCTGTTGTTTTGTCTTGATTTTTTACTGTAAATTAGTAGACTTTCCCCCCCAATTTTTGCCGTAGGGTGTGTGTGCTTGCCAGAGAGAGTGAAAAATCACCTCCCAGGGGAGACAGCCATGCCACAATCCCTTCTCCATTCTTCTCTCAGAATTTTGGGTACACACACACACACACAGAAACACACACACATGCATGTGGCATGTTTTTCAAATCACCAAATCTGGGACTTGAACCAGAGTTGGCATGTGGGATACAGCACCTTAACCACCATGGCATCTACTGGGCCTAAATTAGTAGATATTTGTGGAGTACCCACTGCATACAGTTTATAATGTACTGAACATCAGGAAGAGTGCAAAAAGTTAGAAGATGCATCCATTCTTGAAGAAGCTATGGAGGGCCAGCAGGTGGCATGGTGGTTAAGGGGGCTGGACTTCCACATGGCCGACTGTGGTTTGAGTCCCAGACCTGGCGACTTACTTTCTCTCTCTCTCACATCCTCCAGTGAAATTAAAATAAATAAAGTTAAATAAAATCTTAAAAACAAAAACTATGATATAGCTGAGAAAACAAAACCTAAGTTTGTCAAGGTTAAATTGTGTAAGATTTAGAGACCAGTTTAAGACCACAGTAACAGAGATTACAGTCCAGTGATGCAGGCCGGGATGCTCAGAGAATTCATCACAGAAGGGGAGCAGCAGTTGGCGTAATGGCTATGTCACTGAACTCCCATGTAGTTGACGGTGATTCGAGTCCTGGACCCAGTGGCTTAAACTCATGCTGGGCGCATGTGCATGCGTGCCCAAGATCCCAAGAGGAGAAGGGATTGCGGCATGGCCATCCCCTCTGGGGGGTGATTTCTCGCTCTCTGTCTCTCTGTCTTTCTGGCAAGCGCACGCACCCTATAGCAAAAACTTCTTAAAAAAAAAAATGAAGAAGAAGAAGAAAATGCAGAGTATCCCAAACAAGTGGCATGAGAAAAGCAAAGAGGTAGGAAATGGCACCGTTAGGGGACAAGTAAGAATGTGGTCTGTTGTGTTGTTTCAGATACCTGAAGAGCTATAACATCCCAGCTTTGAAAAGGAAGTGTATTTCCTGTACAAACACAACTTCCTCAGAGGAAGACAGACAAAACCACAAGGCAGATGATGCCCAGGCTTTGCAAGGTAACTGGAGTTCTCTTCACAGTTAAATAAAAGGAAATGTAAATCCATCCTTTTGCCCTTTCTTTTGAATATCTTGTCTTAAATTACTTCATTATGATCACAAAATCCTAGTTTGATATCACCTCTTTGTGGCTGGTAGGCTTTAACTTACCAGTTATAAGTTTCCATGTACTAGGTCTTTTATGCAAGTTTTCCACTGGGAATGTTTTTTCATTGTCGGTTTCTCTTACATCACCAGCGGTTTCTCAAATCCCAGCTATACCTGAATCAAAAATGCCAACAAATGGACAGTCCACAGATGCCGAAGGAGGTGTCCCGCGGACCATGTCCACGACAGCACTGAACTTGGGCTCAGGCATAAGCCAGTACAGTTACAGCAGCACCATTGTCCATGTCCCGCCCGTGGAGTCAGGTACCACATTTGTCTTTTTCTTTGACAATACACCCAACTCCAAATTTGCTATGAAGAGAAAATAAAAGTCATTAATAGCTGTATCACTTCTAATTTATGAATCCCCATTTCTTTCTCTAATTCAGTTAAACTATTTTTGGAAAGGGCATTGTATTTATTTTGATTACATATTTTGGACTGTATTTCTTTTTTATTATTTTATATATTATCATTACTATTATTATTATTAAGTTTACTATAGGGCACATCCCAAGAGGAGAAGGGATTGCGGCATGGCCATCCCCTCTGGGGGGTGATTTCTCGCTCTCTGTCTCTCTGTCTTTCTGGCAAGCGCACGCACCCTATAGCAAAAACTTCTTAAAAAAAAAAATGAAGAAGAAGAAGAAAATGCAGAGTATCCCAAACAAGTGGCATGAGAAAAGCAAAGAGGTAGGAAATGGCACCGTTAGGGGACAAGTAAGAATGTGGTCTGTTGTGTTGTTTCAGATACCTGAAGAGCTATAACATCCCAGCTTTGAAAAGGAAGTGTATTTCCTGTACAAACACAACTTCCTCAGAGGAAGACAGACAAAACCACAAGGCAGATGATGCCCAGGCTTTGCAAGGTAACTGGAGTTCTCTTCACAGTTAAATAAAAGGAAATGTAAATCCATCCTTTTGCCCTTTCTTTTGAATATCTTGTCTTAAATTACTTCATTATGATCACAAAATCCTAGTTTGATATCACCTCTTTGTGGCTGGTAGGCTTTAACTTACCAGTTATAAGTTTCCATGTACTAGGTCTTTTATGCAAGTTTTCCACTGGGAATGTTTTTTCATTGTCGGTTTCTCTTACATCACCAGCGGTTTCTCAAATCCCAGCTATACCTGAATCAAAAATGCCAACAAATGGACAGTCCACAGATGCCGAAGGAGGTGTCCCGCGGACCATGTCCACGACAGCACTGAACTTGGGCTCAGGCATAAGCCAGTACAGTTACAGCAGCACCATTGTCCATGTCCCGCCCGTGGAGTCAGGTACCACATTTGTCTTTTTCTTTGACAATACACCCAACTCCAAATTTGCTATGAAGAGAAAATAAAAGTCATTAATAGCTGTATCACTTCTAATTTATGAATCCCCATTTCTTTCTCTAATTCAGTTAAACTATTTTTGGAAAGGGCATTGTATTTATTTTGATTACATATTTTGGACTGTATTTCTTTTTTATTATTTTATATATTATCATTACTATTATTATTATTAAGTTTACTATAGGGCACATGTGCTCAGTAGAGAGAGACAGAGAGAGAGACAGACTGACAAAAAGTGAGAAGGCAAGCCACCAAGTCCGACACTTGAACTGCAGTTAGCCACGTGTAAGTCCAGCTCCTTAACCACTATATCACCTGCTGGTTCCCAGGACTGTATTCTTCATTCTGTTATTTATTGATGGAGTTAGTTGGCACATGTAAACACTTGGAACGTGCCTGGTAGGTATATAGTAGTAAGCCCTCAATAGGTGTTAGCCATTATTAATGGGACTGCATCAGTCACTTTGTGGTGACCTTTAAAGGAAATATCACTTCATACATAGACTGAAGTTGTGACTACACCAGTCATGTTTTGTTTTGTTTTGTTTTGTTTTGTTTTGAGAGAGAGGTTTTTGCTATAGGGTGCATGCACTGACCAGAGAGACAGACAGGAAGCAAGAAATCAGCCCCCAGGGGAGTGGCCACGCCACAGTCCCTTCTCCTCCAGCCTACTCTTGGGATTTTGGACATGTACACACACCTGGTGTGAGTTTCAAGCCACCAGGTCTAGAACTCAAACTGTAGTGGACCACGTAGGAGTCCAGTGACATAACCACTATTCCATCTGCTAGTCCCCATGTTTTTGTATTGGTCTGATGAATAAAGTGGGTTTAAACCTTCTCTTTACATAAGACTTAGTAAATTATTCTGATCTAATGTTTTCCTTTCATTCCTTTTTACTGCCTCCTATCCTTTTGGCTCTTTTGTTACTTATAATGATTTGGTAGATGAGATTATGACAAATGTGTTAAATTGAATTTTCAGATCATCTCTTAATTTCTCTTTGCTAGTCTTCAGTGTCATACTAGCCAACTCATGTTACACTGTTACTATTAGTGTGTGTCATTTCCTGCTCTTAGTTATTCGTTGGTATTAACTCAGTAAATCCTCCCAACAGTCCTGTAAGGTAGAGAATGTAGCATTGACAAGAGTGCTGTGGAGTTTTGGAAAATGTTCCAGGACACAACTGTTGTGAGAATAGATTGCATTTCTAATCAGCCAAAGCTAGAGTTTTATTGGAACTGAGGTAGCACCTTAGGACAGGAACATTTTTTAGTGTACCTTTTTTTTTTTAACGAGTTTTTAATCTTTAGGGCACATGTGTTCATCAGAGACAGAGAGAGAGAGAGAGAAAGTGAGAAATCTCCCTCCTGGGGAATGGCCATACTGCAGTCCCTCAGGACTCTCAGGAATTCGGGCACGCATGTGCATATGTCTGGCATGAATTTCAAGCTGCCAGGTCCAGGACTTGAACGTATTCGGCCATGTGGGAGTCCATTGCCTCACCACCATGCCACCTTCTTGCCCCCAGTGTACCTTTTTTAAATACTTCAGGTTCCTACTTATTCATGGCTCAGCCCCTACATCATAGGAAGGGTCTCAGCCAATACAGAAAGCTCTTTTGCATTGTGCCATGATGCCTATACTCTGGTCTTAAATGCTTTCATTTAAGAAAATATTTACTGATAGTAGTTTATCCTGATCTTAAAATAGTCTCAGCATCTGTAAAGTCACGTCTTTATTCCAAGGGAAAAAAGCATTACCAGAGCCCATATATTCTTAAACTATAAAGAAATTGTTTTATCTTTTGCTTCCTAGAAAGCTCACATTCCTGCAGTTTACACCCTGACTCTAATCGTAAGTTCGATCTGAAAACCAGAATTCACAAGTGCATTTTCTTGCAAATCATTACTTTCATTTTTAGAGAGACTTAAGGTACAAACGGGTGGAGTAACCTAACCAGCCCGTGGTCTTGTGGCACATAAGTAGCAGAGTAGGGAATCTAACTAGTCTCCAGGAGCTATTGCCATTAATGATATTTTGAACCTGTAACAGCGTCTTTGGCTTGGGTAAACTAAATTAGAAATCAATAATAATGTATTTAAACCCAAACATTTCAAATAACACATTTCTGAGTAATGTGTGATTCAAAGAAGAAATCACAAAGGGAATTAGAAATTATTTCAAAGTCAATGATAATGAAAGTATAACATGCTAAAATTTGTGAGATGCATCTAAAATAAGGTGCTTATAAAGAGATTAATAATTTTACATGTTAATGTTGAAAAAGAAATTCTCAAGTAGTGATCTAAAGCTCCAATTTAAGAAACTAGTGAAAGAAAACAGCAGACAGCATAACAGTTACGTCGCTGGACTTCGATATGGTCAACCACTGTTCAAGTCCAAAAGCCGGTGGCTTAAAACTCATGCTAGGCGTGTGTGCATGCATACCCAAAATCCTGAGAGGAGAGTAGAGGAGAAAGGATTGCAGTATGGCCATCCTTCCCGCGGGGTGGTTTCTCACTGTCTCTCTGTCTCTTTCTGTCCGTTCAGTGAGTGCACATGCCCTATAGCAATGATCTCTATTAAAAGAAAAAACTAGCAAAAGAACAAAGTAAACCCAAGGTAGAGGAAGGAAATAATAAAGATAAAAGTAAAAGTTAACATAATAGAAAAGAGAGAATATTAAAGCTAAAAATAGGTTCTCTGACAAGACAGACAAAATTTGTAACCCCTCATGCCAGTATGGAATAGTCCTGATTCATGTAGCTTTATAGTTAAGTCTTAAAATCAAGTAGTGTAAAACATTCAACTTTGTTCTTTTTCAAGATTTGCCTTGAGGATTCTAGTTTTGTTTTGTTTTTTCTGTATGGATTGTAGACTCAGTTTCTCTGCCTTTTTCTTATTACAGTTTGTATTTTTCTGCTGCTTTGTGTGACTGGTGAGTGTTGACTGGATGTCAGATACTGCAAAGGACTGCCTGATACTTTTTGTCTTTCTACAAGTAGTATTGAGCCAATTAAGTAACTGAAAGGCTTTGCTTTTTAAAACTTGTTAGGCAGGATGTGGTCTCATTTTTCTCTACTACTGAGGCACAGTCTTCTGAGTACTCTGTCCAATACCATATGAAGTATGAGATTTTCCATCTGGCTGATGGGAACAGGCACTGTTCTCCACCTTGTGTGAGCTTTGGTATTGTTCTCCCTAATCCTTTCAGGGTTTTTTTTTTTTTCACATTACTGCACTGTTTTTTTTTTTTTTTTTTTCACATGACTGCACTGGTATATTTTCTGAATACTCTGGGGGCTTTCTTAGAGCTCTCTGATTCCCCTGTCTGGGCCATTCTCTTCCCACCAGACTACTTTGGAAACTGATAAAGTTCTCCAAAGATGTTGTTAAATGAAAAGGTAAGTTGCAGGCTACATATATGCCTTCTGGGTAAAAATAGGGTCAAAAGGAGGGAGATAAGACTCTATTCATGCATGTATATGTATGTGTGTGTGTGTCTTTATATTCTTTGTATTTTCTTTATATTTCTTTGTATTGTCTTTATATTCTTTATATATATATAATATATATGTTTATATACATATATGTATATATATGCATGAATATATATAATATATATACACATACACTATATGTTATACACACACACACACATATATGAAGAAATGTGAAGGACATGGGAAAGAAATGGTTTCCTTGTTGGGGCAAGGGCAGTGAACAAGGGGCAGTGGGTGTGAATGAGAATTAGGAAGATGGTGGAGAGGAATAGGGAGAATTTTCAAAATACTTTTTTATTTAACTATGGGGCCCGTGTGTGCACCAGAGAGAGAAAATGAGAAATCACCCCAAGGAGGGTTGGTCATGCCACACTCTCTTCTCCATTCTCCTCTCTGGACTTTGGCACATACATGCACCTAGTGTGCCTCTCAAGTCTCAGGCTCTGGGACTCAAACTGCACAGTCAGCATGTGGGATCCAGTGCCTTAACCACCATTCTACCTGCCAACCCCCCTAAATATCTTTGATATTTGTCAGTATTTTAACCACATAAATATATTACCTACTTAGAAAATAAATTCAAAGATTAAAAAAAGAAAATTTTTTAAGATTCATAGAAACAGAAAAATATTTTCAATGAAAAAAATTTAAATAGGGACCAGCAGTTGGTGTAATGGCTATGTCACTGGACTCCCATGTAGTCGACTGCGGTTTGCATCCTGGACCCGGTGGCTTAAACTCCCGCTGGGCGTGTGTGCATGCATACCCAAGATCCTGAGAGGGGAATGGAGGAGAAGGGATTGCGGTGTGGCCATCCCCCCTGGGGGATAATTTCTCATTTTCTGTCTCTGTGTCTCTGTCTGTCTGGTGAGCGCACGCACCCTATAGCAAAAAAAAAAAAAAAAAAAAAATTAAATAAATATATGCAAACTGATTATTACAACTCCATAAATGCCTATAAATGTGAACAAAGAATATAAAGACAGAAAAATAAGAATTTTTGTGCCAGACTAACCAATTTTTTTATATTACAGTAGTTATAATAATGTTTATAAAAATTCCCTGAAGACAGTTTAAAAAGTATAAAGCAAATAAATACAAGTGATTTAGAGGAATTAAAATTAAATCTATCTTCAGCAGAAAATGCCACCCTAGCATGTGAACCCTGGACCCTAAACACACAGCCAGCTCCTTTGGCCTCAGAAGAACTGAAGCATATAGGACTTACAAAGGCTGTTCTGTCAGCCCACACACAGAAGGAAGAACAGAATTATGTTGATAAATTCCGGGAAAAGATCCTGTCATCTCCCTACATCTCCTATCTTCATCAGGAAAGCAGAAGCAAAGCTAAATATTCATATGTTCAAGGTAACATATTCTATTTATCTTTTTAGCTGTTACAAATCATATTTAAGTACTAGGAGAATTGGGAGCGAACAACAGGAGTTTCATGTTTAAGGAACTGATGAGAGATGCTAAAATAAATGTATTTGTATCACTAGTTTATCTAGGCTATTTCTTAGTTTCTCTGTCTGAGAAACTGATTTTTCTAAGAAGCCGATGGATGCTAAAGTAAGATTATTTTATAGCAACAATTTTTTTTGGGGGGGGGAGAGGTTTTTGCTATAGGGCACATGTGCTCGCCAGAAAGAGAGAGACAGAGAGACAGAAAGCGAGAAATCAATCCCCAGGGGGATAGCCATTCCGCAGTCGCTTCTCCTCCATTCTCCTCTCGGGATCTTGGGCACGCACACACGCCTGGTGTGAGTTTAAGCCACCGGGTCCGGGACTCGGACCACTGTTGACTACGTGGGAGTCCAGCAACATAGCCATTACACTAACTGCTGATCCCAACAGTTTTTATCCTGAATTTTGTTCTTTTTTAGAACTTTTTTTTTTTGTTATTCCTGTTGTAGACATAGTTACCATTGACAATTGTTTATTATTTTGTCATCTACTTAAAATTGCCTGTAAATAACATGCTTCTCTTCTTTTTTCAGTCTAATTTTCCATAATATGCCTCCACCTTTATGCTTTTAGGAGAGACTACTTCCAAGCAAACCAGTTCAGCTGGTTACAAGAAAGGGAAGCACAAGCGGAAGAAGCTGCCTGTGCTGTGGGACAGCAACAGCCAGAGCCCTCCTGATGACCTCTGTTCCCACGGCAGGGGCGAGCTTCAGAACATGCAACCCTGGGACCCTCCTGCTGCCTCCTCTCCCCATGCCTCGGGCCTGGCATTCCCGTCTGCCATGATGATTCCCAGCCAGGCGCCGTATCTTATTCCAGCTTTCCCCCTGCCAAGTATGAGCTCTCTGGAAAGAGAACATGCAGCCTCAGGAGCTGTGCTGGAATGTCTGCCTAAGCCACTTCTGCCTAGTGGCCTGCAGTCTTTTCCAGCTTTCCCTTCTCCTAACCTGGATACTTTTATGACCATTTTCCTGCATGGACCTGCAATCTCTCCTCTGTCATCACCGTCCTTCTCTCCATATTCATTTTTGGGAGCAACGGGCTCTCCTGACATGCCACCCTCAGTATCAACAGTGACTCCAGACCTGGAACCACCATTTTCAGGCATCAACCAAAGGAGAGTCCAGGAGAAATGGGAGACGCAGAGTGAAGATCACCCATTTATTAATTCACGGAGCAGCTCACCATTACAGTTAAACTTACTTCAGGAAGAAATGCCCAGATCATCAGAATCTTCAGATTGGATGAAAAAAGACACGTGCCTAGAATATGTAAGTGATGCTAACTTGCAACACACCAGCAAGGAAGTAACCATGAGTCCTCTTAGTAAAATAAAGGTTCTTTTGGGGTTCAACATCGATAATCCGAGTAGGTAGTCTGCTTACAACTAATTGTAAGCCTTGTTCTTCAGAAACATGCACTATATCTAGCCAACTCCATTTACAAGGCAAGAATGGAAGAAATCTATACTTTGTGAGATTTTCCCCAGAGTGCTGTCTTTCAAGTTTTCTTTGTGCACTAGGTTCCCTCCACCCTTTAACATTTGCTAGCCAGGTATTAAATTTAATGTATTAATTGCCTATAAAATATATGTTTCACTTATACCTGGGATTATGATCTGGTACAATGGAAATAAGTCATATTGACAAGATACAAATGCAGCAGTTGCACATTTGAGCGCATAGTTGTAGAACAAACGACTGTGTGTATGGAGGGAATACGAGCCACTTTAGTCATTATCAGGAAACGAGGTAGTTTCTAGTTTGACACACTGAAAAATAAAAACATTTTTGGTCAATTTCCTTTCACTTTTCATTCCTTTACCTAAAAAGGCATTCTCAGATTTATTTATCAGATTAAATATTATAATCTGATGTACAATTATAGAATCCAAGACAAGTATGAATATGTACACAAGTTTTTCTTCAGTCTTCCCTTCAAGGTATAGTATCCTTCATTAATAGATGTTTAAAACATGATGGTACAACTCAAACAAATGTACTCACATTTCTTTTCAGGTTTTTGTCATAGGAGGTGTACACTTGCCGGAGAGAGACAGTGAGAGGGAATGTGAGAAATCATCCTTCAGGGGAAATGGCCATACCTGAATCCCTTCTCTGTTCTCCTCCTCAGATTTTGGGCATGCATGTATGCATACATGCCTGTCATTTTTTCCCTTTCTTTTCTCTTTTTTTAAAAATAATTTTTTAAATTGTATTAATGATCTTATTATATTTAATTTGACTGGAGAGAGACAGAGAGAGAGAAAGGGAAAGTGAGAAAGCAAGCTGCCATCTCTGGTACTCAAATCATGGTTGACTCTGTGGGAGTTCAGTGCCTCAAACACCACACCATCTGCTGGCCCTGGCCTGGCATGATTTTCAATCCACCAAGTCTGGAAATCTAACCATGGTCAGCCATGTGGTAGTCCAGCATCTAACAACCACACCACCTGCAGGCCCCAGTATGCCCACTTTTTGAAAGCCTTGTATTAATGCACTTGCTAAAAATCGAAGGTAAGGCAGCGAATCACCATGAGCAAAGCCTGGGCTATGGAGCAAGACATGGATTCCGATCCCAGCTCTGTCACTAGTTAGGTGGGCTAGCCAGATATGTTATTTAACCTTTTTCTTTCTTTCCTTATTAGGAAAATGGAAAGATGAATACTTAATAGCTCATTGTGAGGATTAAATGATGCATATATACTACATCTCCCCATGCAATAGATGTCCAGGGTACCTGGAACTGTGTTTTGTTCAAAATTGTATTCCTAGTATTTGGAACATATGAAATGCTCACTATGTAGTTGCTGAATAACAGCAAAAAAATTCAAAGCATATACTGTGTGGTGCCTGGTATATATTGGGTTGTCAGAAAAGCCATGACACATTTTTCATAGAAAAACAGAAATATGTTAGGACTTTTCTGACAACCTGATAGTACATGCTCAGAAAACAGTAGTATCTTTAATATTATGTACAAAGGAACTGACCACATTCGTGGGGATAGGCTGAAAAGTTTTTAATGTCTCCATTATCTATGTGTCTCAGTTTAACATGTGAAGTTGATGCTCTACCCGTTATTTTATAATGTGACGCTCAAGATGTTCAGGTCTCTTATCTTGTGGCCTTTCTTGCTGGCAGCATGTTACAGGCAACAGGGGGAACAAGATCCATCATCCTGCTGCTGGCAAACTCTCTGCAGTACTTCACAAGGAATCTCCATCTGGAACTGGTTCTACAGCATCAGGTAGTGGATCAGGATTCCTCAAACACCATTGCCAAATTCTCACCATGTCATGGGCTACCTGGTTTTGGCACTAGTACAGAAGTAAAGTTTAGTTTTGTTTTCATCTGCTAAGCTCTGTTGGGGTATATTTACATGCAATAAAATTCACCAATTTTAGGTGTGCGGAAAAAGAATTTTCATAGAAGTGTACACTATTATGACCCCCCACTACAATCACCACAAAGAATATTTCCATCACCTCCCAAATGTTCCCGTGAACCGTTAGCATCATTCCTTCGTTGATCCTTTGGCTCCTGTAAACCACTGATGTACTTCTGTCCTGTTCGTTTTGCTTTTTCTCTATTTCATATAAATTGAATCAGGCAGTCCACAGTGTTTTGTGTTGGCATTTTTTCAGTTGCATAAGCCTTTGTGATTCATCCTTATTGCATGTATCTGTAGTTTATTCCTTTTTATTGCTGAGTAGAATTTCATTGTGTGGATCTCCATTCACCAGTTGACAGATTGGACAGAGGTTATTGGGTTGTTTCCAGTTTTAAGCTGTTTCTGCTTTGAGCATTTGAATATGTCTTTTTTGTGAATATATGTTTTCTCTTCTCTTCCTTTGGGTAAATACCTAGAGGAATGAAATCGATATATGTTGACCGGTGATGTTAGTATCTTTTCATGTACTTATTTGCCCTCCATGTGTCATCTTTGATGATATCTGTTCAAATCTCTTGCACATTTTTTCCCTGGGAAGTTTATTAGTTCTCTTATTGAGTAGTAAGAGTTCTATATATATTCTGGATACAAGTCCTTTATTAAGCATGTTTTGCAAAATTTCCTCTCTATGTGTGACTTGCCTTTTCATTTTATTAACAGTATCTTTTGAAGAGAATTTTTTTAATGAAATTCAGCTTACTGAGTTTTTTATGTTACATGTTGTACTTTTAAGCGCCCTTTTTAGTAACTCTTTCCTTAACCAAAAGTCACTAAATAGTCTCCTGTGTTTTCTCTTGGAGGTTTTGTAGATTTAGCTCTTATAGTTAGATGTATGACCCATTTTGAGTTAATTTTTGTTTTGAGGTAAGGGTTGAAATACTTTTATCCTGTATGGATATCCAGTTTCTGCTCTATTTGTTGAAAACCTGCATTTTTCCGCTGTTGGATATTTCAGCATCTTTGTTGAAAATAAATTGGTCACATGTATGCGTGTTTATTTCTGTACTCTTTTCTGTTCCTTTGATCTATATACCTAGCTTTAGGTTATGCCATGCTCTTTTGAGCTTTCAAGAAAGCCTTGAAATTTGGTAGGGTAAGTCATCCAGTTTTATTCATCTTACAGTAATTTTTTTCCTTTATTTATAATAGAATTTATACACATTCATGTGAGAATAACAGAGAGATGAGCACCCTCATAAGGTCTGGTCATACCACAATCCATTCCTCCAGTCCTCCAGACCATCAGATCCCGTACATTCACATGCATTATGGTGTATTTCAGGCTGACTGGCACAGGGATTTGAACTGCAGTTGCCATGTGGAATCTAGCTTCTCTTGAGCAGCACAGTACTACTGTGTCACACAGCTGCCTGCTTTTCTTTTCAAAATGATACTGGATATTAGGGGTATGTAATTATATGAACCAAGGTCCTAGATCAGTTTCTCAGTGTCTGCAGAAAAATCTGCTGGGATTTTGATGGAGATTGTGTTGAGTCTATCTATAGATCAATTTTGGAAGAATTATCTTTCTAGCAATATTGAGTCCGCAGTCATGTGTATTTCTCTATTTATATATGCCTTTACTTTTTTTTCAGCAGTGCTTTGTAATTTTCAGTGTACATGTCTTACACATACTTTGCTAAATTTATCCCTAAGGATGTTATAATTTTTGATGTTATTGTACATAGCATTTACAAATGTTCCATTTCCAGTGATTTGTTGTTAGCATATAGAAATTCAATCAAATTTTATATTTTGAATTTGGATTCTGTATTCTTGCTGAACTCATTTATTATATGTGTGTATGTGTTTTTAGGTTTTTGCTATAGGGCACATACACTTGCTGGAGAGTCAGAGACAGCAAGAAGGAAAGTGAGAAATCTAGGTTTAATTCTAAATATTAAATCTAGGTTTTCTTTAAATACATCCCCAAGGATGATGGCCACTCTACAATCCTCCCTGGTGTTTTGTATATGCATGCACACACACCCAGCGTGATTTTCAAGGTGGCTGATCTGGGACTTGAACCACGATTGGCCATGTAGAAGTTCAGCACCATAACCACTATACCATATACCATCTGCTGGCTCCTCTTTTTTTTTTTTCCTTTTTAAGAGAGTCTGTTTTTTTTTTTTTTGAGAGCTTTTTTTTTTGTTTGTTTTGTTTTTTTGCTATAGGGCACGTGTGCTCACCAGAAAGACAGAGAGAGACAGAAAGCAAGAAGAAATCACCCCCCGGGGGATGCCCGCTGCAACCCCTTCTCCATTCTCCTCTGGGGATCTTGGGCACGCGCATACATGCGCCCAGTGTGAGTTTAAGCCACCAGGTCCAGGACTCAAACAGCAGTCGACTACATGGGAGTCCAGCGACATAACCATTATGCTAACTGCTGGTCCCGAGAGTCTTTTTTTTTTTAGAGAGAGATTTTTGCTATAAGGTGCATGCACTTGCCAGAGAGACAGAAAGCAAGAAATCACTCCCCAGGGTGATGCCACAATCTTTTCTTCTCCATTCTCTTCTCAGGATTTGGGGCATGCAAGCACATGTTCCTGGCAGAGTTTTAAGCCACTGGGTCCAGGACTCAGACTGTGGTTGACTATACATAGGAGTCCAGTGACATAACCATTATGCCATTTGCTGGTCCCTCGTTTGTTAGATTTAGTAGCTCTTTTGTAGGTTCTGTAGGATCTATGCAATTTTATTGTCTGCAAATATAGTTTTACTTCTCTCTTTCTAATCTCTATGTCATTATTTGTTTCGCCTTATTTAACTGGCTAAGTCCCCAGTGCGGTAGTGAATAGAAAAAGTGACAAAAAGACATTCTTGCCTTGTTCAGTCTTAAGGGGAAAGCAGTTTCACTATTAATATGATATTAAATCTAGGTTTCCCTTAAATGCGGTTTATCAGATTGAGGAAATCCTTTAGTTTATGGATATGGTTTTCTTCATCTATTAAGATAATTGTTTTATCAATATGGCAAATTATATTAATTCTTAAATAATTAAATTAACCTTGTTTTTAGTTATGCTATTTTACCCTTTTTATATATTTCTGGATTCCCTTTCCTAATATTTTGTAAGGGTTATTGTGTTTGTTGTATGAAATGTTGATTTGTTGCTTTCTTTTTTTGTATTGTTTTAGTCTGGTTTTGGTATCAGGATAATGTTGGTTTCAAAAATCTGTTGGGGAGAGCAGCTGGTGATGCAGAAGTAACACAGTACTCTCTGATGCTGAACCCATGTGGAAAAGTCACAGATTCATGTCCCAAAGTGGCTTCCCTGTGCATGCTGGGCATGCATGCATGTGCCCATGATCTGGGCTGGTTGAGGCTGGGGGTAGATCACAGTGGGATCCTGTTAGACATGCTTTTGTTTGTTTGTTTCTTTTTTTTTTTAATTTTTTTGGCTGTAGGATTCACGAGTTCAACAAAGAGAAAAAGAGAAAATGAGAAAGCACCTCCCACAGTGGATGGCCATGCTGTAGTCCCTTATGGGATATTAGATGCACCTGCACACATGCCCAATGTGTTTTTCAAGACACTGGGTCTGGTACTCTAACCATGCAATCAATTATGTGGGATCCAACCACCTTAACCTCCACACCATCTGCTAGCCCTGCCATTCATTCCTTCTTGGTTTCACTCCTGGAAAAAGTTAATGATTTCAGTCATCACTTCAGTTTTCCCACACATTAAAAACAATTTCTTAGACAGTATTATTCAGTATCTTCTTTAATGCCATCAATATTGATCTTTTCCACAGTTAAGTACACACCTGCTCTTTGAGACTCTTCTCTTGAAACAGCCCTTTTTGTTTCCACAACTCTTCCATCCACCTTGTGTGGCCTTGTATTCATGGCTGCGTCTGCCTGCTCCACAGTGGCATATGTGACAAACCCAAAGCTCCTGGAGCACTTAGTGCTTGGATCTCCCCTTACCACCCAGTACATGAGTGTTCCCCATTGCTCAGAATGGCTCCTCAGACTATCATTGATTGTTTCAAAGCTCAGCCCTCTGATGAAGAGCTTCCACGACTAGTTGGCCTCTTGAGGAGACTCTGACTTAGATGTGACTACAGTGGGAAGAGAAACTTTAATGATGATTTTCTGATAGTGTCCACAGGTATAAAGGAGTAAATTAGTCAATGTATCACTGTTGGTTTTTATGACAGACTGTTATAATATCCAGCTATGATTGTGAATTTGTCTTTTTCTTCTTGCAGTTAGATAAGTTTTTTGAAACTCTTTTAGTAAACGCATACCCATTTAAGGTTATTATGTCCACATGACAAATTGATTTCTTTGTCTTGAAATATATCTTGCCTTGAAATCTACTTTGGTATCAGTAGAATATCCAACTTTATTGTGAATAGTGTGTACATGGTATGTTTTTTCTTTTTACTTTTAATTTATTATTGTCTTTTACTGAAAGTGATATTCTTATAACCAGTTTGTCCTTATGGCAATCTCTGCCTTTTAATTCAGGTGCTTCCTTTGACCATTAACATTTAATGTGATTATTGACCTGCTTGGCTTTAAATTAGATCTTCCATCCTGCTGTTTATTTAGTTTTTATCTCATCTACTATTTGCACCTTTCCTTCTACCCTTCTCCTTCTGGGTTAATTGTATATTTTTATTCATTTTTTTCTCCAGTATTAGCTTCTCAAGCATGCCTCTCTATTTTTTTTTCCTTTCATTTTTTTGCCCACTTTTTTGTTGTTGCTCTAGAATTTACAGTGTACCTCTTTTACTTCACAGTTTACCTTCAATCCCCCACCACCACCACCCTCGCCACACGCACAGGGCACATATATTCACCAAAGAGTCAGAGGGAGAAAGCACCCTTGCAGTGGAGTGTGGTTACACCGCAATCCATTCTCCTCTGATTCTGCATCTTGTCAGGATTTGAGGAATGTACCCACACATGCCTGGCATGTTTTTCAAGCCACTGGGCCTGGATGCAAACTGCTCTGTTGGCCATGTAAGATCCAGTTCCCTTAACCACTAGGCCAAGGAGCCAGCCCAACCTTCAAATATTACACCTCTTGGGTACAAGCAGATGGTATGGTGGTTAAGGTGCTAGACTCCCACATGGCCGACTGCAGCTCAAGTCCTGGACCTGGTGGCTTGTTTTTCTCTCTTTCCTTCTCTGTCTCTGGTGAGCACACATGCCCTATAGCAAATTAAATAATAATAAATGAAATTTAATAAGTAATTAAAATATATATTACAACTCTTAATCCTTTTTGTATAAGAGCATTAAAGCAGAGTACTTCCATCTCACCCTTTATTTTTTGCACTATTTTTGCAATATATTATAATAATGTGTTGTAAATTCCACAATAACATTTTTTTCTTTAAACAGTTGATTTTCTTTTAGAATTTTTTTTAATTGCCAGAAAGCATGTGCACTTGTCAGGGAGAGAGAGAGAGTAAAAACACCCCACCTCCACCCCCCAAGGGGACCTGGTCACATTTGCAGTTCCTTCTCCTTTTCTACTTCCTGTTGAGATTTAAGGCATGTACGCACAGGTGCTTGGCATGGTTTTTTAAGCTCCTTGGGTTAGGATTCGAACTGTGGTTGGTCATGTGGGATCTGGTTCCCTTAACTACTACACTGTGTACCGGCCCAAATTTTTTTTAATGAAGAAAATTGCCTTATATTTACCCACATAGTTCCTTTTTAATTAGACAAATGTTTTTGTTCATTTCATGCTTTTACTTGTTTCTAAGTAAATGAAAATTATCTAGAATGGTCTGATACAAGATGGGAAAGGAGTGATCTATAAAACTTCACAGCAACCATAAAGAGATGGGCCTAGGGATGAATGATTTCTCCATTTTAACAGGAGTAAGGTGAGGAGGAAGTGTATAAATGAGTAATTGTATGTGTTTGACATCAGGAGTATGATGAATTTTCTTTCTCATGGCTACCTTTTTCCTGTGAAATCGGTGACAGTGAGGGAGAAAAATAGAGAATTTTAAATCACCAGAAGATGTATGTGCTCATCAGAGAGAGAGAAACAAGGGGGTGGGGTACCCTCAGTAGGGCATAGTCATGGTGCAATACCTTCTCCTCCATTTCTCCATCCTGTTGGTAGTTGGAGGCATACATGTGCATGCACCTGGCATGTTTCTCAGGCCATCAGGACTAGAATTTGAACTGTGTGGGGAACCATGTGCTATCTGCCTTCCTTAACCTCTAGCCTGTGAGACTGGCCGGTCCTTCGTTGGCCCTTTTGAGGCTGGTAATGATGAATTTATTGTAGAACCAATGTACTGTGCTCTTTCTCCATGTGTTTGGCTGCCTGCATTTAGATGAGATCAAAGTCACCTATTGGCTATATTGGAGTTGACAGGATCTTGATAGTTGTATAGAGTCAGAGGCAGAAAGAGGTCTTAAAGTATTTTAAGGGGTGTTATTGAATGATGAACTGTGAACTTTAAATAATAAGGGAGCCAAAGGGGAAGACTAAGGCACTGTTCTCAATTTATAGTTGGAACAGTTGAACATGCAAATAAAAATGTGAAGCTGAAATGTTAGTGATTTGGGAGACAGAACAGTTATGGGTGATGGTAAGGAACAACATGCAGCCCTGAGAACGGAGAGCTCACGAGGAATGGAGAAGGAAATCTTGGGAAGAGCAGAGATCTTTCTATAGAAGGCTGTTCACAGGGGGTTGAGGCTACCTGGGATGAAAGCTGGGAGCGGTAGTGAGGAAAGCTATTATCTGTGAACAAGTATTTCTGTTTATTTTGTGTTTTCCATTGAGGGCCAGTTTTGCAAATCAGTCTTTAAAGGTATTTTCTAATTTGTTGTTATCGTTGATTTTTTTATAGGAAGCAGTGACAGCAGTGTTTACTTTGCTAGTAATGATCATTCTTCAGAAATCTCCCAAAATGAGCAGCAACCTCAGGATGTACAGAAAAAAGAACTATTCCCCGGGGTAGCTCCAGAGTCCATCTGGAGAATGATAGAGCAAACACCTGAGTGCATTCTCATGACATACCAGGTACCTGAGAGGTAAGATAGCACTGTGGAAGATTCAGTTTCTGTGTTTTTATGGCTTCTTAGTATTTATAATACAACATACACTTCAAATATTTCATATATAACCTTGGAAAAATCCATTTTCAAATTCATTTATTTGAAATCGAGGGATAGTGATTTGTTGAAAGAGTTATAATGCTAGTGCAACACAACACGAGATGAAAAAGCAAATAAAGGCGGTGCTTTCCAATGTGGCACTGAAGTACACGAACCTTCCTTTCAAGACGGGTTGTTCTTCATTCTAAAAGAAAAGAAAAGCTAAGGGAAATGTGTTTCTTCTATGTGCTTCATTAAGACATACAGGTGTTTGCCACCAAGAAAAAAAAAACAAAAAGAAAGGGCCTACTTTACCATCTTGACAGAGAAATGATTTGGTAGATTTTTTAAATTTTGTACATTTTATATTAATAAGAGGTGTAAAATTATATTACAGCCCAAAAGAAGTATAGATGCCTCAATAAGAACTCTACCTCATTAAACTCTGTTTTGTTTATTTTCAGGGATAAAGAAGTTGTACTAAAAGATGACCTGCAGAAGTTAGAAAGGATGAGGCAGCAACAGCCGAAGTTTTCTCTTGGGCAAAAGGAAGAGCTGGCTAAAGTGCGTTCTTGGATTCAAAGCCAGACTCTCCCTCAAGAAATGGGCATCCAAGTAAGCATAGTAAGACTAGCTATCACACAGCGACGTTCTTAATATAGTCGTGTTATTGCATGATGGCACTAACATATTTAATCCTCACAGGCTCTTCTGTGATAGGTGTTAATGTCCCTAACAATCACCAACAAAGTATGGTATATAGTTATTAAATATTTAGTATAAGATTATGCAGTTAATTGGATTATGAATATGAGTATTTTTGACTCCAAGAATTTTTTTTTTTCTTTGTTGGGGAAAAAAGAGTAATGACATCTGCTTTGATGTATAATTGACTGAAAAGAAGTGTAAGAGATGCATTTCAAACAAACGTCCATGTTTGAAAAGAATTAAAATTTGAGATGTAAGATTCACAGCAGAGGTGGTATTCACACCTAGCAGGAGCCGTAGTGGAACTCCAGTAGTCTTTTTGCTGTTGAAGTCTTTTCAATCAGATAATTTGTGAATAGCCCAAACAGTGAGGCTTCGATTTACCAGTGGTTCTAACTGGTGGTGGTAGTAGCCGTAATGATAGTAGTTATGGCTGTACTAGTAAGAGATCTTGATCCCGACAAGTACCAAGATGTGAGAGGCTGGCGAGTCAAGTTAAAATTCTAACAATAAACTTAGATGTTCAAAAAAGTGTAATATTAAAGGCTTATGAAGTAAGCAACCTATTGAAGTCCTCTCTATTCTTTCCTTTTTAAAATTTGATACCACATTTTTCACTGTGGTGAAATACACTTTACATAAAATTTACCACCTTGGACTATTTTTAAGTGTATAGTTCAGTGGTATTAGATACGTTTACATCTCTCTGGCACCCGCTTTACATCTCTCTGCAACATACCATGAATTGAGCTCATCTGGCAAAACTGAAACTCTGTATATATTAAACTGTAACTCCTCGTTCCTCTTCACTAACCCCTTGAGCCACTGTTCTACCTTATGACTCTCTGAATTTGATTGTTCTAGGTACTTCATGTAAGTAGAATCTTACACTATTTGTCTTTGTGACTAGCTCAGTTAGAGAAACCTTTTATTCACTTTTGGTTGTTACTTGCATGGAATACCTTCTTCCATCCTTTCTCTTTAAAACTATTTGTGTCTCAAATGAGTCTCTTATAAACATATAGTCTCTTATAAACATATAATTGGCTCATGTTCTTTTTAAATTTTTTATAGAATTATTTAATTAGTTACTTTTTATTACTAATTTTTTTTAATTTGACTGGAAGAGGCAGAGTGAGGGAAAGTGAGAAAGCAAACCGCTGGGTCCAGGACTTGAACCACAGTCCACCATGTGGAAGTCCAGCACCTTAACTACCACACCACCTGCTGGCCCCAGCTCATGATTTTTTTTAATCAGTTTCTTCTATGTTTAAAAAATTTAACCCATTCACACTTAAAGATGTTTAAAAAATTTAACCCAGTCACACTTAAAGGAAATACTGGTAGAGACTTACCTGTGTAATTTCACTATATGAGTCTTCAAAAAGTTCATGAAAAATGCATGCTATGAAAATACTATGCATAGATTTCAAAAAAAAATTGCATCAAAATAAACTTATACCTTAATTCTATTTTTCCACAAACTTTTTGACATCCTTTTACATTTGTTCACTAAATGCCTTCTTGCTATTTCCCATCATTTTCTGTTTGTTTTTGTTTTGACTTGCCAGAGGGCACTTATACCCACTAAAGAGAGAGTGCAAGAACTCAATCCCTATGGAGAATGGTCACACCGCAGTCCCTTCTCTGTCTCTCCTTCATTTGGGTATTTTGGGCATACATGCACCTAGTATGTTCCTCACACTGCCAGGACTGGGACTCAAACTGCAGGGTTGACCATGTGGGATCCAGATGCCTTAATCACCAGACCATGGAGGAGGCCTTCCCTCATTTTCTCTATTACTGACTTTTTCTGTTTAGTTGATATTTGCAGTGAAATATACTTTAATTCTTTGTATTTTCTTTTTCTTCCTGTTCACTTGCTATTTCTTTTGTGGTAACCATGGGGATTACTTGATATGTTTATCATCCCAACATATAATTTGATGTCAGTTTACACTAGCTTCACTGGAACTCCAACCCCATATTCTTTTAGGTATTGATGTTATGAAAGAATTAGATCCTTTTTTTTTTTTTTTTAGAGGTTTTTGCTATAGGGCACGTGTGCTTGCCAGAAAGACAGAGAGAGACAGAGAGACAGAAAGCAAGAAATCACCCCCCAGGCAGGATGGCCACACCGCAATCCCTTCTCCTCCATTCTCCTCTCGGGATCTTGGGCATGCACGCACACGCGCCTGGCATGAATTTAAGCCACTGGGTCCGGAATTCAAGCCAAGGTTGACTATATGGGAGTCCAGCAATATAGCCATTACAGCAACTGCTGGTCCCAGGATCCTTTAATTGTGTGTCTAAAAATACAGAGTAATCTTTAATGTCTTAATTTCTTAAGTGATGTAGAAAACAAAATGTAGAATTGCAAACCCATAAAAGCCAGAATAATACTAACTTTTAGACTAATAGTTTTATTTAAGTGTATTAGTCTCTTGAATCTTAGAAAACAAAAAGGGGCCAGCCAGTGGCATTGTGGTTAAGGTAGCTAGATCCCACATAGCCAACTGTGCAGTTTGAGTCTGGGACCTAGCAGCTTGAAAAACATGCCAGGCATATGTGTAAGTGCCCCAAATTCCAAGAGGAATGTGGAGGAGACGGGATTGCGGTGAAGATCTCTCCTATGAGGTACTTACTTTCTCACTTTCTCTCTTTCTTTCTTTCTCTCTCTCTCTCTGGATGCAGCAAACACATACATGCTTTAGCAAAATTAAAAAAAAAAATGATGAAGTTACACATCATTGCTAAAATAATATTAGCTTTTGGGGCCGGCAGGTGGCATGGTGGTTAAGGGTGCTAGACTCCCACATGGCCAACCACGGTTCAAGTCCCAGACCTGGCGGCTTGCTTTCTCACTTTCTTCCTCTGTCTCTCTCTCACACTCTATCCCTCTTTGGTCAAATTAAAATAAATGGATAAATAAAGTTAAATAAAAAGAATAATAATACTAACTTTTATAATCACCTATTTATTTACCTTCACTGAGCTCTTTACTGATTCATACAGCTTTGAGTTATTGTCTAGTGTCCTTTCATTTCAACCTTCAGTGCTCTCTCACTGGCAGGTCTAGTGGTAGCAAAGTCCCTCCTTAACTTCTGTTTATCTAGGAATATCTTAATTCCCTCTCACTTTTGAAGGACAGTTTTGCTAGGTAAAGGATTCTTAGTTGACTTTTTTTTTTCCTTTCAGCATGTTGATTGCATTGGCCCACTGTCCTCTGGCCTCCAAACTTTCTTTTTTTTAGAGAGAGCTTTTTGCTATAGTGCACGTGCACTTGCTGGAGAGAGAGAGAGAAAGTACAAGAAATCACGTCCGGGGGGGATGGCTATGCTGCAGCCCCTTTTCCTCCATTCTCCTCTCAGGATTTTGGGCACGCATGCGCCCACACCTGGTGTGAGTTTCAAGCCACCAGGTCCAGGACTCAAACTGTGGTTGGCCATGTCCAAGTCCAGCGGTATAACCATTTACACATCCGCTGGTCCCTGGCCTCCAAAATGTCTGATGAGACATTTGCTAGTAATCTTCTTGAGAGTTTCTAGTATATAATGAATTGTTTCTTTGTTTCTGCTTTGAGGATTCTCTTTGGCTTTAGACTATTTGATTTTTTTTTAATTTTAACAGCTTTATTGAAGGACATTTAATGTTTTTAAACTGCACATATTTAGTGTGTACATTTGATAAGTTTGGATGTATGCATATACCTGTGAAACCATTACCTAGGTTCAAGTTGCATGCATTAAAACTTCTACCAATATTCCCTTTCTGGTATCTAAAAGGATGTTAAAACGTAATTATTATTTTTCCTTCACCTACCCTCAAACTGTTGCCCACTCATCTTCCTTATCATGTCTCAATTCTAAGATTCCTTGCTGCTTCTAACTTTTTAAATCTTTTTTTTTTTAAATCTTTGTTCGTGACAGTGTGAGTGAGCGTAGGAGAGAGAGGGAGAGAGAAAAAGAGAAGAATACCCTCCTTGGAGTCTGATTACCCCATGATCCCCTTTCTCCAGTCTTCCAGCCTGTCAGTTTCTGGGCACTCACATACATTTGTATTTTTCAGGCTGGCTAGACCAGGGATTCGAACCACCATCCCGTGTGGGTTCTGGCTTCTCTTGGGTAGCACATTACACCTGTGCCACAGAGCCAGTACTTTTTTGTTGTTGTTAATAACGTGTGTGCACTTCCTGACAGACAGAAAGGGGGAAAGTGAGATACCACCCCCAGAGGGAATGGCTATGCCCCAATCCCTTTTTTCTAAAGTTTCCTCTCATGAGTTTGGGCATGCATGCACATGCACCTGACACAGTCTTCAAGCCTGTTTGATTTTACTGTGTCTCAGTGCGGACTCTTGAGTTCATCCTACTTGGAGTTTGTTGAGTTTCTTTAGTCTCTGTTCCTGTCTTGTATCAAATTTGGGGAGTTTTCAGCCATTTTTAATCTCTACCCTTTTATCTCTTTCTTCTTTTTCTAGATTCCCACAAGGCTTATGACAATTTACTTGATGGTGTCCTACATGTCCCTGTAGGCTGTATTACTTTTTCTTCCATCTTTTTCCTTTGTTTTCTTAGACTTGACAGTTCAAGTTCATGTAGTCTTTTCTTCTGCTCGCTCAATTGGCCTTTAAATACCGCCAGTGAATTTTTCATTTTAGTTTTGTACTTTTTTAAAGCATTATTTTATTTAACTTTCTTTCTTTCTTTCTTTCTTTCTTTCTTTCTTTATTTATTTATTTATTTATTTATTTATTTATTTGACCAGAGAGGGTCAGAGAGAGAGAGAAAGCACGCCACCAGGTCCAGGACTCGAACCATGGTGGACTGTGTGGGAGTCCAGCACCCTTAACCACCATGCCACCTACTGGCCCTAGTTTTGTACTTTTGAGTTACAGAATTTCTTTTTAGTGTCCTCCCATGTTTTCTATCTTTTTATTTCCATTTTGTTCATACATCACATTCTTGAATGTCCACGTCTTCAGTTCTTGAACATCTTTAAGACAGTTGTTGCACAGTCTTTGTGTAGCCAGTTTTCCTTCTGATCTTTCTCAGGGACTGTTTCTGTTGGTCTTTTTTTTCCTTCAAATGGCCCATACTTTATTGTTTCTTTGTATGCCTTGTAATTTTTTTGTTGGGAATTGGGCATTTGAAAATAATAGTGACCCTGGGAATAAGATTCTCTTCCGTCCCCAAGAATTGCAGGGTTTTGTTTAGTTTGTTGGAGATTAGCAGGAGGGTTAAACTCAAGGTGTCCTCAGATCCTTTTATACTTGTGCCTTTCCCTGGGTGTGCACAGTAACTGATTTTGAATAACTGGCTCCCAAAAGGGGGAAAAGAAAAACGAAGGTGGAGGAAAGAAAAAGATAAGGGGCTGGCTCCTTAAATCCTCTGGAAGTTGCTTCAGCTAAAGGCAAAGGGGCTGTGCAGAATTGGGGGGAGGTCGTAACGATGGTACCTCCAAGATCAGAAGCAGCCAGCAGTCAGATCAGAGATCCTCAGCTTCTGGAGGGCAGGGTCTTTCTCGCCTACCCTGACTACAGTAAGCTGCATGTAAGCTGCTCCAGGAGCACACGTGTAGCAGCCTGCCCCAGGGGTTGGGAATGGGTAGCTGCCACTGTGCTGCAAGCCGAAATTGACAGAAACTAAGTGCTAAGTGTAGTTTCTCACCTCAGCCTTTCTCCAGAGGTTGGAGGCCTTCAGATAGACTGCAGAGTTCCAGATTAGTTTCACCAGACTGCAGTTCGTGCAGTTGTCATCTAGGAGGGGAGTAGGATCTCGGGTTTTCAACTCTAACATCCTCTCAGAGTCCTCTCCCCTATTCCTATTTTGAAAGAAAAGAATGAGTTTCTGCCATTTAAGAATAGTCATGTGGGATCTTGTTACTGGGGAGGTTTGACCATGGGAGTCTCCACCTGGAGTGGGAGGGTCCTTGGCTCTGTGCAGGAGAGAATTTAAGAGTGAGCCTTTGAGGGAGAGTGAAAACAGGTTTATTAAGGAAAGTGTGCAGAGCAGATTACTCCATAGTGGAGCTGCCCCATGAGGGGAGATAGGTGAACAGTTTCATTCTTTGAGGGAGAGTGAAAACAGGTTTATTAAGGAAAGTGTGCAGAGCAGATTACTCCATAGTGGAGCTGCTGCCCCATGAGGGGAGATAGGTGAATAGTTTCATTCCCTCCCTGGGTAGACAGGATCAGGGAATAAGCCTGAAACACACTGCCCTGCCCACTGCTTCCCTGCCTGCAAGCCTCAAGAGGAAGGTGAAAACTGTTACCCAAAAGGAGAGCTAGGAGGGCTGCCCCGTAGGCCGGGCCGTGAACTTCTGTGGCATCTGGCTTTTATGACTTGGCTTAATGCCAGGCTGAGTAAGAGGTGGTTTATTCATGATTTTTCTGAGAAGGGGGTGGTGGTTTTCCTGGAACCACTGTCCTCCTATTTTCTAGCCTTACTATGGTAGTTCTGATTGTTGTCACGGTTATTGTAAACTGTCATGGCATGTACAGAGTGTCATGGGGTATAATGAGTTCGAAGGGTAAGCAGTGGTCATTCCAGATGCTATCTTGTTTCTTATTGGTTTCAGATTCAATCTGTCAACCACCTCCTGTCTATCAGGTTTTATTGTTTTATTATAGGTGTTTGGAATGTCCCTTACCTCAGTCCCTTCCTGTCTTATTCTCATCAAAAAAGCACAAACTGCACTGGTTACTAGAAGAGTATTTTTAAAATGTTTCTCTGGGTTTTTTAACAGGGTATATAAAGAGTGAGCCTCAAAATAATTTTTTTTAAAGTATTTAAACAATTTCTACTGTTTACCTTCTAATAATAAAAAATCGGTTATAGGGGCCAACAGGTGGCATGGTGGTTGAGGCATTGGACTCCCATGTGGCCAACTGTAGTTCAAGTCCTGGACCCGGTGGCAGCTGGAAGATCACAACAAATCAGGAGATAAATAAATGTTTAAAAAATCCACTATAATGGATATTTTCAGACATGAATAAGTTGGAGAGTTAAAAGTGTATTGCATGACTAGCCTTTCTCTGATTTTAAAACTCTTCAGATGACTAGCATCAAATAACCTACCTGCTCTTGTTCTTTTTTGGAGGGCTGTGACGCTTGTGAGAACAAAAATTCAGTGGATGCTGCAGAATCCTCTGGGCAGGACCCAGCAGAAGACAGCAGTTGAGTGACTGTGAAGATGTACCTTCACAGTGTTTCTCAGACACGTTGGACAAATAAACCTCTTTGTGTATCTTTTTAAATCATAGACTCTTAAATGGCCATGAAGTTATCATAGAAAGTTAAAACGTAAGGTTTTTCCTTCTTGATTTTTTTTTTAGTAGATAATAATTTTTTTCTAAAGTGGACACTTCTCTTTGTTCCTGATGTATTAAAACTATTTGGCTCTTGTTCTAGTTCAGCTATCTTGTTAAGAGATTGAATAGCCTCTAAAGAGGTAGGTATATGGAAAACTTTATTTCATTTGTTACCCAAAATAAGCTATAATTACAGGTTTAGCTAGAATAAGCCCCAAACTTTAGCATCATTTATTTTGTTATAATGCTGCATAAATCATTCTCCCCTGTTAAGAGTACGTCCCACTTATGGATCGTATACTTGCCAAAATGGTTCCCATAGCTTAATACATTCATCTAGGCTTTCTGTAACTTGGTTATAATACTCCCACAACATACTAAAATATACTGTCCATTAGCATGTCTGAAAATACCTGATTTTAGGGGTTGAATATTTACCTTCATTCTTGTTGATGCTTTTCCTTTTGATGTTCTTCCTTCCACTGAAATTCTTGAAGCCTTTTCATAAAAATTGAGTAGTTTAGGGGTTAGCCAGTGGTATAGGGGTTAAGGCACTGGACTCCCACATGGCCGATCATGTTTTCAAGTCCCAGATCTGGTAGCTTAAAACTTAAGCCAGGTGTGTGTGCATGCCCAAAATCCCAGGAGGAGAAGGGATTGCAGCATGCCATCACCCTGGTGGTGATTTCTTACTTTCCCTCTCACTGTCTCTTTCTGTCCCTCTGGTCAAGTCAGCTCATGTGCCTTATGGCAAAAGCTTTAAAAACAAATTGAGTAGCTTATCAATGGGCTTGTTCTTTGGAGAGTTTGCATGTGTAACATTAAAAAGAGTTTCTTACTTATAACCAGTAGTATTTTTCTTTTCAATGTTTTCATTTTTAAAATAATAATTATTTAGGGAACCAGCAGTTAGCGTAATGGCTATGTCGCTGGACTCCCACGTAGTTGACCGCAGTTCGCGTCTCGGACCCGGTGGCTTAAAACTCACGCCGGGTGTGTGTGTGTGCGTGCCCAAGATCCCGAGAGGAGAATGGAGGAGAAGGGATTGCGGCATGACCATCCCCCCTGGGGGGTGATTTCTCGCTTTCTGTCTCTATGTTTCTCTCTGTCTGTCTGGCCAGTGCATGCGCCCTATAGCGAAAACCTCTCAAAAAAAAAAAATTATTTAAAAATCGGGAACCAGCAGTTGGCATAATGGCTACGTCTCTGGACTCCCATGTCGTCAACCATGGTTCGAGTCCCGGACCTGGTGGCTTAAAGTCACACCAGGCACGTGTGTGTGCGTGCCCAAGATCCCTAGAGGAGAATGGAGGAGAAGGGATTGCAGCATGGCCATCCCCCCTGGGGGGTGATTTCTTGCTTTCTGACTATCTGTCTCTCTCTGTCCTTCTGGCAAGCATACGTGCCCTACAGCAAAAAAAAAAAAAAAATCAACTTAGATAGAAGTTAATATTATATACCCAATGTGTTTAAATGTTCGATCTTGCCAGAACAAACAGCAGTTAATTCTTTCTTCCCAACCAATTTACACAAAAGAGGTCTCCATTCCTACCGGAGTTCTGATTGGCACTGCCTTTTATTTGCCCTTGAATGGAGGTAATGTTGTGGGACTGCGCAGTGAGAAAAGTTTGTCTAGAACTGCTTAGTGATATTGGCCCATGGGGGACTGCAAGGTCTTCCATTAATCAGGGCTTCGTATGCCATTTATAGTTATGTCTTTAAGAAGTGAGTATGATTGTTTACCTGATAAGTCAGCTCACTCTCTGGTGCTCTTTAGAGAATTCAGGGATTCCTTCTCGACCTTGAATGATACATTAAAATCACACCCATGAAAATCAGAAAAGGAAAATAGAAGAAAATGAAGGTTTTAAGTAACCTTTTATATAACTTGCAACAAACTAACTTACTTTTTTTGTTTCTTTTGTTTGTTTTGTTTGTTTGTTTGTTTAGGAAAACATTTCTCTCTTCTTTGAAGTTTTATAGCTTTTTATAAATGCATCCTGATAATGATTAGGAGAATCAACTTTTTTATCCATGGTGACTGCTGGACCCAAAATCTCCAGTCCTATTCTCAGATTGCCTTTCTAAAGTGGTTTTCTGGGTGGTAATTCTATTTTATAGTATCAGATCCATTTTCAAATGCTGCCTTTGACTTTTCTTGGAATTTTGTAATATTAAGCAGTTTAATGAAAATATCTCTGTTTCATAAATAGAGAATTCTCATATTCTATCCCATCTTGATAGCTAAATGATTTCTGAAGCCTTTGTGTGTTGGCCAAATTAGGTGATATTTTCGCCCTCAGTGAGAAATCAAATTTTTTTTAATTAACCAGCCTATATTGTCCACCAGTGATATAAGTTTTTAATTTATGCATACAAAAATGATACATATAGCTATCAGGATTGTTCTGCATTTAGATATGCTTGTTTCAAACTTTATGTTCTCTAATAAGTTCAGCCTTTCTATTGTTTCCAGATGTTTATTTTACTTAAATTTGCATATCTCTTTGCCTTAGTACACATTTTATGGCATGTCTGTTATATTAAACTTGATTTGAAACTGGTGCTTGTTGTAGACAAATTCGTAAGACTGTTTATCAGTTCTCATCTATGGGTAAGTAAATTAGTGCATTTAGAGATTGTTTCTGCTGCTAAGGATGAGCAGTGGGCTTCAGCAGTGACAGCTGTTGCCTCCCAAGGGGGCTTTACCAAGTTTAAACTTTGTTGTTCTAGTTTATTTTCATTTTTTATTAATGACTATAGAAATTGGTAATAAAAATATATATTATAGGCTTCAGTGTTTACATAAAGGTTACCCAAGAGGCTATATTTTCTTGGGTAAGAGGTCAAGATTTCTGAAAAGCAAATGCTGTATGAGTAGTTTTGTAATTAGGGAAATTCATTATAATTCACAAGATCAGTTTAATCCAAATTGAAAATCTGGCTAACTGAATTTAGAATTACCTGCGTGACTTTACTTGTTTTTAATGGTTATTAATATTTTAACTGGGTCTCTTTTTTAATGAAAAATAATAAATAAACTGTGTATATTTCGAGTGAGAAATTTCTTGTACTGCGTCACAGATCTTTGCCCTGAATTCAAGATATTGTATATCTATATCAGTATTTTCTGTTGTTTCTACTGCATGTTGTTACTACATGAGGAAGAGAAGCACCCCTCCTCCCGCAGTGGGGCAGTCACACCACAGTCACTTCTCCAGCTCCTCATCCCTCCAGGAACGGAAGCACATGTCCCTACAGAGAAGACAGTAACAGCAGTCTGTCAGATGGGTCAGGCATCCTCTACTCAGCACCTAACCTCTGTGCTTCCGGCCCAGTCCTCTATTTCTTAGGGTGGTAGAGGGTTCCTCATAAGCAGTCTGTCAGATGGGTCAGGCATCCTCTACTCAGCACCTAACCTCTGTGCTTCCGGCCCAGTCCTCTAACTATTTCTTAGGGTGGTAGAGAGGTCCTCATAATAGGTTAACAAGGCCTTTTTCAGCAGCACTCTGCAGTTGCATTGTCAGATATATATTCAAATTCATTAGTTTATTTAATCCTCACTGCAGCACTATGAAGAATTTATTGGATCCTGGATATATGCACATATTAATAATACTAATTTTTCAAAAAATTATTTAATTTTGTTTATTATTATTATTATTATAGGACACATGTGCTCACCAGAGGGGGGGGGGTGAGAAGCTGCCAAGTCCAGGACTCGAACTGTGATCTGCCATGTGGTAGTCCAGTGCCTTAATCATGACGTCACCTGCTGGCCCTCATCATACTAGTTTTAATGCCAAATTTATGAAATTCAATGATCAACATTACTCTAACAAATTCTGTGGGTGACCCTGTTTCACAAAGTCTGACCATGTACCTGGCTGCAACATAGTCTAGAACTGAAATATGAACAAGATCCCGAAGCCAATGGAACTTTTTAAATTTTACACCTTCTATGTCATTTGGGTGTTTCTGCAACAAAAACAGTAACAAATGCAAGAAGAAGAATAGTATTTACTACATATATGCTATGGCATAGTCTGGCCCTTTAAATGCTTAACATGAATTATCGCATTTAATCATCCTAGCTATTCCATGAAATAAGAGTTACTATCCTGATTTTACAGAGTACAGGAAATGAGGCAAAGGGAGTCAAATAACTTGGACAAGGACTCACCATTGGCATATGACTACTGAGCCCCCATCTGTAAGAATAATTGCCTAATGCCACTAAAACAAGTAAGGGGCTTTAGAATTTTATAGACAGTGCCCAACTTAAAATTTTGCAACTTTACAAGTTCAGGCTGTTCCCAACTCTTCATCTTCAGGCCTCTTTCACTTTAGAATTTTTTATTTTTCCAACAAAGGTACAAATTTTTTTTCAAAAAGTGATTATCAGGGCCAGCAGGTGGAATAATGGTCACATCACTGGATTTCCCACATGGCTGACTGCAGTTTGAGTCTCAGACCTAGTGGCTTGAAACACACCAGGCACATGTGCATGTGTGCCCAAAATCCTGAGAAGAGAATGGAGGAGAAGATATTTGTATTTGGCTGTCCCCTCTGGGGGAAAGGGTGACTTCTCACTTTCCTCTCACTGTCTCTCTCTGTCTCTCTGGCAAGCACACAAGCCCTATATCAAAAAATCTGTTAAAAAAAAAGGTAATAATTAGTTATTTTTAAGGGCTGAGAGGACATGATAACTAAGATAATGCAATTTGTTTAATTAATTTTTAGTTTAATGATCTTAATGAAGTTTACTTTTATGACTTTTTCTTTTTAGTGTTGCTTCTGTTCATTTGTTAGCTTTACTTTTAATTGTTTACAGAAATCACCCCAGCCATGGTACATGCACTGGTAGATACTGCTACTCAGAAGGCCAAAGTCATGTGGGAGGCCCAGGTTTGACTTCTGCCACACCCTAACAAGCCAAGCATAGAGGCTGAGGCAGGAGGATCACAACACAGGTCCTATCTTTAAAACCAACCAACCAACCAAAACAAACAAAAAACCACTTAAGGACAATTGAAGGGAAAAAATACAGATTTTAAGGATATGTTCATAAGTAAAATAGCCACTCATAATATTTGCAAAACAAGGAGGGTTTATTTTCCAAATAATGAACAGGTTATAGTTTCCTAGTTTTTGTCATACAGTCTTCAAACCATTTTTATTTCTAATTTCCTAAGGTGGATGTTCCCAAGTTGGCTAATAGATGCTTTTTCACATCAGACGCAGTACTTCCAAAAGCATTCAGGAGTTACACGTTTCTTGGATCGTTTCCTGGTTCTAGCCAAAAGATGACGCAGTAAAATGTTCAGGTCTCGTCCAGAGAAAGCCTGAAACTAAAATGATTCAAACAAAACTGGAGATCAGTTATCAATGCATCAAGGATCCTACCTGAAAAAGGAATCTAGTCAAGACACAGGACCTTTCAAAAGTTTTCCCTGTTGTTCTCTGGGCTATGACTTTAACAAGATATTCTACACTTATGAGCTCCTTGTGCCCAGCTCTTGTCAAATAGTGCTTCAGTCTGTTTAGCCCTGTGATTGCCATGAATTTTTCCAGGCCCTCCTTGACATTCCTACTTAAATTGCCTGTGAATAACATGTTCTGTACATTTATCATCTTAGGTGTAAATAGATGTTTTTAAAAAATATTTCATTTTATTTGTTCATTTATTTTAATTTGACCAGAGATACACACACACACACACAAATAGAGAGAGAGAAAGAGAGAGAAAGTGAGAAAGCAAGCCACCAGGTTCAGTATTCAAACTGTGGTCGGCCATGTGGGAGTGTCCAGCTCCTTATCCACCATGACACCTGCTGGTCTCCACGTAGATCTTTTATTTGTCTCGAAATTAGCTTCTTTGAAAGTTGACCCCTGATGGGGCCAACAGGTGCTGTGGTGGTTAAGGGCATTGAACTCCCACATGGCTGACCAAGGTTCAAGTCCTAGACATGGTAGCTTGCTTTTTCACTTTCTTTCTCCTCTCTCTTTTACTCTCTCATTGTATCCCCCTCTGGTCAAATAAAAATAAAGTTAAATAAAATAATTCTTTTTTTTTTTTTTTTTAAATATTGACTCCTGGGACTGGTAGGTGGCATGGTGGTTAACAGCCACATGGTCAACTGCAATTTGAGTCCTGGACCTGGCAACTTGCTTTCTCACTTTCCCTTTCTCTCTCTCTCTCTGGTTAAATTGAAAAATAAATAATAATAAAAAAATGAATCTTTTTAAATAATTAAAGTTGACTCTTAGTTCTCTTGTTATTCTAGGATTTCAAGAGCACATCCCACTAATCACCTTTATGATTTTAGCATCTTTCATCATAAACCTTCTGTTCAACAGACTATAAACATAAGTCCTAATTTTTAATTAGCCATGCATAGAGGCCACACCATCCTCTTCTGGTCCACTTGGGACCTCAGGTGACATGTGTCATCTCCAGGATTCAGTGTTTCCAGTGTGTTATTGCTAGGACCTTCATGGGCGTTAGGCTGAAGAAGGAACTGTCACTGCGTTTGGGAAATGCCTGGTTGCGTTTCTTCATCTTATGATTTCCTAGGCTTCCTTATGTGCTCACGGACACAGAATTGTGGGCTGGGGAAGCGTGAGTACACCCAGCGCCACTCTGCAAAACTGCCTCGCAGGATGGCCAGGCCTGGAGGACCCCTCAGGAACACTAGTTAAGGGTTTTCTGAGATTGATAATGTTCAGACACAGGTTTTCCTTTTAGCACCTAATTCCCCATTAATGGTACCATTTCTAACCATCTGGCTTTTTCATTCATCATTTCCTATCTCAGACTTCACACTACACCCCAAGTAATCTGGAAATCCTCTTCTCTGCTGCTTATATTTTTCCTCCAAGTTGTGAACATGCCTCTCGTTTAGAGGATACATGGCAGTACTTTTTACACTCAGTCTGCATATGAATCACCTGGGGACCTAGTTAGGATGCAGGTTTAGATTCAGTGGATTGAGAATGGGGGCCCAGATTCTGCATTTGCACAAGCTCCCAGGTAATACCAGTACCGCTGGTCCATGGGCCACGTGGTAATAGGATGAATGAGACGGTGCAAGTAGGCGGCAGACTTGAAAGCGGGGACCTTACCTTTATTGTCTTACCCTGTGTCATAAAAAACCTTAAGAGATTTTTGCTGAGAGGCAAGTGAGCTTACCAGAGAAACAAGCAAGAAATCACTCCCTGGGGACAAGGGATGGCCACGTTGCAATCCCCTCTCCTCCATTCTCCTCTCAGGATCTTGGACAGGCACACACACATGCACCCTGGCTTGAGTTTTAAGTTGCTAGGCCCAGGACTCGAACTGTGGTCAACTACTTGGGAGTCCAGTGACATAACCATTATGCCACCTGCTGGTCCCACCCCTTGTTATAATTTATCCAGAACAGGAACTGAATAAATTCTCATTGCATTCAGATTTTATGTGAATGAAAATTTGGAAAAAAATAATGCTTTGAAATAACACCAGCCGAATATTTTAAGGTGTTATTTCAACTAAGAAAACACTCCTCACATGAACTAAGGATCCTATAAAGTCAGGTGTAGAAAGTTCACCGTTTTTCAACTCTCATAGTCACTTACCTTTTTCAGATTTCTTCTTGGATTAAAAATGGTACTAGAATCTGGAAAACAATTTAAAAATTTATTAACTCTCTTGTTTCTATGTTATGCTTGTTTTAAAACATACGGATTAGAGCACCATTAACTTATGCCTGGTTTCCCGTCTTTTGTTCATACTGCAGCGATTAGTCCCTTGAATGCAGACAGGCATTTTGTTCTTACTCTGGAATTCACAGAAGATACCACATTTTCCTCAGTAACCTAGTGATTCCGCTCAAAAGTACAGGGGTCAGCAAGTGGCGCTGTGGTTAAAGTGCTGGATCCCACATGACTGGATTGAGTCCCAGACCCAGTAGGTTGAAAAGCATGCTAGGTGCATGTGCATTTGTGCCCAAAATCCCCAGAGGAGAATGGAGAAGAGAATGCAGCATGGCTACCACCACCACCCCCGCTGGAGGGGGGTGATTTTTTTCACTCTCCTTCTCTTTCTCCAGCAAACACATATCCTATGTCAAAAATCTAAAATGTATAGGTCCAATCTCTCTGGCAGTCAGTAGTAGCCTACTGATCTATAGTGCCAGAAGCCACATGGCCATCCATGGGTTCAGATCCCCAGCCTGGACAATATGAAACATGCCACATGTATACATATATGCCTAAGATCCTGATGAGCTAGAGGGCTAGGGGAGAGGGGTCACAGCATGACTCCTCACAACAACATTATGATAAGTGGATTTTTTTTTAATTTTTGTGAAAGCAAGCAAGAGGGAGAAGGGGAATGGTAGGATGGTATTTTTGTCAAGGTCCTAGGACATCACAATTTTCCTGCCCCCAGCCTCCCTACAAGCACTGATTACAGGTTCATGCCTGGCTCTTGGCTTGTTTAGGTTGTGCCGGGATCAAGTCAGGGCCTCACACTGGCCTGCACCCACCACACAGTGGCACCTCCCTCATGCCACCACAGCCGGGCCAGTGGATTTTTTATTTATCAATTCTGTTTCCTGTTTTTTGAGACAGATATAGAAAGGTCAAATAATTTGCTTAATATTTTAGTAAGTAGGAAGCCAGAATTAAAAATTGTACTTATTGGAAACATAATTACCAGTACCACCCCTGAAAAACTAGAAGTCCATGCAGAATGCGGAGGCACCACGTAGACGGCGGTGCTTCTAAGGAGTTGCTGGAAAAATGAAAACAGGATTGTGGAGGGAGTCTTCAGGCCAGGAAGGGAGAATGTTGGGTAACTAATTAATTTACTTTATAGCTTGGCTTTACAGGCCAAAAGGGGCATGGCCTCATCTGGTAGATTGAAACAGAGGCTAAAATACTGCAGCAAGAAAATCAGACAACCTGTAAAAGTGAGAACCATTTTACCTGCTTTCCTAAGACCATCGTCTCTCTCTGCACCCACCATCTCTAGCAGCAGCTGCAGAAGGGAAGCTCTTTCCGGTTCACCCGAAGTCAACTGTGCATCTTCATCAGGTGCTGCAGAATAATAGGTATGAGTAACAGCTTGTCCTTCAGTGAGTTATTTCTGTTCCCTGTTATCTTTGGAAAGTACCAGGGATAAGGAGATAGATACTATAATAGAAAAACTTCAAATACTAAGTTCATTTTTTGCTATGCATGTCGTTTTAACAGTGGAAACACCACCATCCAGTTTGCAGCCTTGTAGAACAGGAAGTCAGGACATCGGCCTCATACTGATTTGTTACTGCCCGAGCTGCGAGGGTGCTCAGCTGCTTGGAATGTGAAGGTGGAGCTAAACCACAGGATCTCTCCAAACCATTTCAGCTCCGAAAGTCTGATTCGGGGCTGGCCCTGTAGCACAGCAGCTAATAAAGCACTGCACAAAGGAGGCCAGGTCCCACGTGGCCCACTGGGATTGCAGTCCTGGCCCCATAGGCGCATTCTGTGTGTGCATGCCTAGGACCCTGATGGGATGGAGAATTAGAAAAAAGGTCGCGGCATGACCAGGCCCTATTGGGGAATTTTTTTTTTCTCTCTTTCTCTTTCC